GTGATCGACTGCGCTTCTCGAGGTGGGTTTACCAGCTTGATTGTGCGTTGGTGTCCGAATGTTCCATGAGCTGTCACTTGACACGGGTTCACGACGGGGTCTCAGACGTCGACGCTTAGCTTTCTTCTTTCGTCGCCTCGAGTGCGAGCTCGAGGACGAGGAATCGCTCTCGCTGGAGACTCCTCTAGGCGCGAAGGATCGTGTCCGATCGGGCCGGAAACAAGCGGGAGCCCCTGCTCGACCGCGGTATCGTTCGACGGGAGCGCCAACTGTTCGACCACCGGCTCAAATGACGAGAGCCCCTGCTCGATCGCTGTCTTAGACATCAGTGCGAGCCTCTGCTCGACCGCCATCACGTGCTTTAGCCGGAGCCCCTGATCGACCGCCATCTCGTTCTTCAGCTGGAGCCCCTGCTCAACCTCCGCTTGGGAGTCAACCTCGCGTCGCAGCGAGGTATCGTCGTGTAACAGCAATGCGCATGCTGTACAGAGAGGGCCATCGCTCACTCTGCGCTCGACGGTGACGTGGGGCCAGTCATCTGGGCGACCAGGAGGTGGGTGAACATCTCGCTCACGTCGAAGTCACCACGACGCTTGACCGACCGAGCCAACAAGTCGATCTCTGGTTGATACCTCGATAGCCGGGCATGCCCAAGATGCAGTCGAACGCGTATTTCATATCAATCACAAGGAAGTCGTCCTTGCTGCGGAAGCTGTCAAACGTGTACGACAGTGTTATCTCACGCCTTGTCACGTGGCGCGGCTTGTCATCGGCGAGCTTGACGGAAACCTCGCCGCGACCATCACGGACGCTGATTGCCGATGAGAGTACCGACAGACACGACGCACGGAAGCTCTTGAGTCCAGGAATGTCCACAGTGGTTGCCGGGCACCGGCGACGTGAAGACTGACAATGATCAATCTCGAATCGCTCGGTGTGGTGGTGGCATTAAAGTGTACTTCAAGCACACGAGGGATAGAAGGTTGGGTTGCCACGGGGGGGGGGGGACCTTCATTCCAGCCAGTACGGCGCCCCCCACCAACTGACCCTGACTATTTTTTTTATTTGGCTGAACGACAGGAGCAGTTTCGACACCGACATGTGCGAGAACCGGAACGGGCGCGCCCGCGCGATGACCAGGCTTCCGTCAACGGAAGCAGGTAAGGAAGCGACCGGTGTACCCCGCGATAACCATTGCGTTGGCGACTGTTCGACGCAT